AGGAATTATGGATAAGGAAAACTGCTTATCTTTGACGTTTGCTTCTATAAGTTTCTTAAAACAGGATATGTCTTCGCTCACGGACATGAATAATTGTGTCGAAACATTTTAATATTTTTTCTAAGATGATGTAATTATCAGCAAGTTCGATTTACGAAATGATGCGTTTCGAATATATCGTCTTGTCTAGCTTCGCTGTCGAAATTCTATTCAACAAAAGCATATCGTCAATATTTGAGGAGAGCAAAAGCGAAACTGATTCTATCGATTAATGGAAGGCATCTAATGAATAATTCGTAAAAATACTCGCTGATAGTGGCCGGTCGGCGACTGTTGAATGCGAGAAACAAAAATGAATAACTTCAACAGAAGAAGTCGTGTCTTTGTTGTAAGCAAACACAACATAGACCAATCTGCGACTGAAGAACGAACACAACGGTTGAAAGAACAAGTTGAAGATGAAAGTAATCAGCGAGCAATGGATGTTGTCAACGCTTCACGTTCGAATGATCAAAATCCAAAGAAGACTGTGCCTTATTCGGAACGATTCGATGAAAGAAAGGAAGAGAGGGGCGTTTTATTCCGATGTAAATAATCGAAGTACAGTGCCACTCCAAGAATTCTGTGATAAAATTAATGGTATTGAAGCTCTTTCAACGATAATAACGAAATTATCTGGCTTGAATATTTCAGTAGGGTGTGGGTCTTCTCTTGATTTACACCCACACTCACACTCACACCTTGACGAGTAGTGCGGAAATATTAGATTAATAAGCCGATTTATTTCGAATAAAGACACTAACTGCATCAAAAATTTTGTTTTTCGTTTTTCTCAAAATCAGTTTTTTCGAGCATGCCGTTTATGCGGGCAGGCTTTTCTTCATAACGACTCGATATGAAAGTGACAATTTTTTTCATTGTATAGTAGACAGGCAGGGCTAGGTCGTCACATAGTCGGATTTTTGAATTTCTCTTTTGCTGAAGTAAAAACTGTAGATATTTCGTTTTGATCAGTGATTTTTTTTTGGTCATGAATTCGAGAATTTTTGAAAAAAGGATTTTTAAGAAACAAGGAAAGGAAAATTCAAAAATCGGACCCTAAGGATACTGTACAACCTAAAAACTGCCCAGGCATATTAGCTCGTATCCTTATTGTGAAAACCTTGCCCGCGTACAGGGTACTTTTGACCAATAAATTGACTAGAACTCGTTAGTTTACTGGAGTTTTGTGGAAGCTATTTCACTCATAATCTGTTTTGTCCTAGACCAATATCCTCCAAAAAATTTGGGTGTGATCGAACGAAAAATTATAAAGTTGCTTTCTGAGAGGGCCCCCTTAAATGCATCAAAATTGGTCGAGAAAATCCTGCAAAAGCGTTACGTTTCTTTTTTTACATTTCTTTTTATCTGAGCGAAAACTGTTTATAGAAAATTGGCTCTAAAAGCATTTTATTTGAAGAAATAATTTCGCAAGAAGTTAGAGTTTTATCAGCAGCACTTCAAAAAAAGTCTTTTTATGTAAAAGTGTTTTGTAATGATAAAGCTTTCCTAGAAGGCGAGGACTTCAACCGAAAAAAAAAAGACTATTCCTATAACATAATTAGAATGTGATAAACTGTCAAAAACGTAAACGCCTCAGGTTTGAATAGCCCAAGAGCATCTCTTTCATACACCCATAAACTAACCAGCCATTACTCTTAAATACATTCTTAAATTTTTTTCTATATTTTGGGGCCACACTCGGAGTTTGATGTAGCGTTTATGACCATGATCTAACAGCGTGTCCTAATTCAGAATGGTTGTGAGAAGTTTAATTGTTGTTTTAAAAAGAAGCAATGCAATTTATTTTTTAAAACAAAATATTCTTTCTTACCGACGAATAACATGTAAAATAAAAAGCAAAAGTGTGTGTATTTTGTCCGCGCACATTCTTCAATAAAGTAAGTGAAGAAAAAATTGTTTTTCGCTCTACAATACATCAAGAAATTTCTTTTTTCATATCTCTTCTACATTGCAAATAAAGAACACAATAAGTTAACCTTGAAGTTTGAGCAATAACTCTCATGCTATCGCAGCAGCGATAAACAACATTGTATTTACTCGACATCGAAATGTTGACATTTATGAAAAAAGCTTTTGTTGGAAAGAACCATTCGTGCAGTAAATATGAAACAGAATTCTTTGCCTTTTAGTCGCTTAAATTGTCATTCTTTCTCTAGCTGTTTTCGAAAAATTGGGTGTCGGTGTGGGTGTAGAGATGTTGGCTTCGTGACTGTGTCACTTGGAAAATTCTGGTATGGTCCGAGTGTATGAGTTCGGATGATGATATGACAGCGTACACCAGTCGGTTTGCATACATGTAGATGTAGCTGTTTATGATTTTGGGTGTTTGTGATTATGTGTGGATGCGGATGTAGTTATTTGTTATTATGTAGATACAGGCAGCATGAGTGTGAGTTATTGTAGACATGAATCTGGGTATGTGTGTAGTGTGGATTTGGATGTCTTGTAGTCTTGAAATTAATTGAATTTTTTGATGTGGGTGTCGGTGGGAATACATTTATACCGACACCCACACCCTACTATTCTTGATGATATTGAACTGATACTTTTTAGTGCATCCATGCAACAATTAATCCTGATTGCAAGCAGCAACTCGTCCTCTGCTGGTTCAGAAATACTGAAGTTATAACTAATGCATGCTCTTTCTCTTGTAGAAAAAAAAATGTTTCAATAATTTTTTTTCTCGATAGTTTGTTTTTCTCTTTATGTCATATAAACGATTTGTCAATATATTAGCTTTCAAATAACATAACTACATTATTACATACAATGTTTCATCTTTTGTTGTATTTACTGTATACGACGTTGATATGATCTTTATAATTCTTATCACGGGATCTCATGACAGTATATAGGCGCCCTCTTTGCTAAATTCATATATGACTGATGATTTCTCATTCGACTCTTTTCTATGTCCAATCCCTCATTGATACAAGAATTGTAAAAAAAAAAAAAAAAGAAGAATACTGTGAAGAATAAATTGAAATTCTTTTGAATTTAGGTTTAGAACTGAGTATTTTTCATCCAGAAATATTTCTCTATTACAGTATACGTTTATTTTGAATTTGTTTTTAGATTAATGGCTTCATCAATAAATGATTTAGGTGTTAATGAACATCATGAAGAAGTTATTCGTCATTATGTTCATTTTTCTCGTGAACAAAAAGCAATAGGTCTACGATCATTTCGTTCTGCAGCTGATGATTTTAAAACTCAACGTTTATCTGATGAAGCTATGATGACAGTTAATGAAGTAAATGAATTTCTTGAAGAATTTCTTGATATATTAGAAAAAGAATTTGAACAAGAATTAACACATCAATATCGTGTTAATGCTCTTTTACTTAAACAATTATTTCAACAAGCAGAACAATGGTTTTTGAAACTAAATCCTAATTTTGATCAATTAGAAAATCGTCGTTTAATTGAACTTATACGAGATTATGAACAACAACAATTGAATACAAAAAAGTTCAAAGGCAACAAAGATATGAGTAAGGAAAATATAGTATTTTATTCAGTGTTGAGAATATCGCCCCTTCAAAGATCGAGTGAACCCTTGCGAAGTTTATGGTTGTTGCACATTGATGAAGTATCGAATATTCAATAAAACAAAAAGAATTTTTTTTTTTTTTTTTCTTTCAAAAAAAAATTCAAATAGATGCAATGATGGATCCAATAAATGATACAAAATCTACAATACTTTTAAAAACTGAAATTCAAAAATTAGAACAACTAAATGAACAATTAAAAAAACGTTTATTACAATATGAAAATGATGATGATCTTTTAAATGAAAAATTAGAAGAAAATACACGTTTATATCATAATAAAGAAACATCATTTTCTCATCAATTAGAAACAAATGAAAAACGTTTAAAGGATATTCAACATGCATTATCATTAGCTGAAAATGAATTAGAAAAAAAATTTAATCAAACAAATACATTTATTAATATGAAAAGAATTATTGAACAAAAAAATCAACAAATTCGAGAATTAAGACAACAATTAGATGCTAAAGATGACAAAGATTAACAAAAAAGTATGTTTTTTTTTTTTTTTATAAAGCATCTATTCTAATAAGTCTGTAGCAGAGCATTAGAAAAATATGTCTACTTATTCGAAATCTTTATTAGGTCGTAGTTCTTAGAAAATTCAAACTTTTCAAAAATAAAAATTGATGTTCAACTTTTATCATAGGCAAATCTACCAACGTTTTCACTTAGAAAAATTACACATGTCTTTTCGCAAAATGTTTTTCAAACTTATCTCAGAATTTTTCCTAAAATATACAAATACTATTATTCGAGCAGACTTTTTAATTTCATTGTACAGGGTGGCCCAAAAGTAAGGGAACAAAGTAAGGAAACAGCATATTCTTTTCAAATTTTTCTTAATAGATCGATAGTTGGATCTCACATTTGGACCACATATGCAGTATGATGATACTCAGAAAAGCACCCTATCATCAGTGGTTTGCCCTTAAGATTTTGCTGAAAAAACACAGGAATTTTTCTTTTGTACCTTAATATGATTATTGCTGAAGTTTATTTTTTCTCTGTTATATTTTGTTTCAACCTTTTTGTCTGTTTAAACTAGCGCGTACTAAATGATGTAAATTCTTTTGATTTTTAAGTAGTTTCCGACTGTTTGCATATAAAAGTATTCATAGATGAAGTATAGCAGAAAAAAATCAAATCGCTTCGATAAAAAAAGACAGACTTCTGTGACAGTTAAATAGGGACGCACGAGAGGCATCCGGGCATTTATCAATAAAATTTTAAGGACAGGGTCTGATGCTAGAGTGCTTTTCTGAGTAGTATCATATAGTATATGTGGGCCAAATATGAGATCTAACTATCGATCTGTTAAGAAAAATTTGAAAAGAATATGCTGTTTCCTTACTTTGTTTCCTTACTTTTGGGCCACCCTGTATGTTCACAAAAGTAAGATTTAGTATTATCGATATTATCTTTTTTTAAAGTTGATTTGAAGGGACCACAGTTTTTTGTTGAAAAATTCAGTTAAATCTTGTAATATCTCAAGAATCAAGAGCAAAAAATCAAATAATTCTAAGCTTTTGTATTCCTCACTACTACTTATCAAATAAACATTGTCTCGATCGAAAAGCGATTTGAC